GATCCTCAAATTGACCATTTTTAGACGCACACATTGTGCCACAAATGATATACCAAATTAAAGTGCAATCATAATGCTTTAAAATGATGCATAAATGACTGTCATAGCATGAAAACTGTCAAAGTTATTCACAACCATATCGGAACCTCAAATTACCGCCTTTTTAAACCTGGGAAAATAATTCTACCGATCTATCCAATTGGCCATTTTCTAAAAATACATTATGCAATAAATTATATACCAAAACAAATGGCAATTTTAATGCTTTAAAATGGTGCATAAACGACTGTCCTAGCACGAAAACTGCCAAAGTTAATTGCAACCATATCGGAACCTCAGATTACTGCGTTTATTAAACATAGAACAATAATTCTACCGATCTATCAAATTGACCAATTTTTAAAAATACACATTATGCTACAAATGATATACGATATTAAAGTGCAATCATAATGCTTTAAAATGATGCATAAATGACTGTCATAGCGTGAAAACTGTCAATGTTATTTGCAGCCATATCGGAACCTCAAACTACCGCGTTTTTAAAGCTGTGAAAATAATTCTACCGATCTATCCAATTGGCCATTTTCCAAAAATACATTATGGAATAAGTTATATGCCAAAGCAAATGGCAACTATAATGCAATAAAAAGATATATAAACGACTGTTATAACATGAAAACTATAAAAGGTATTTGCAACCATATCGGAGCCTTAAATTACCGCATTTTTGAACCTGTACCAATAAATATACCGATCTATCCAATTTTTGTAAAAATTCATTATGCCACAAATTATACACCAAAATAAAGTGCAACTGTAATGCTTTAAAATGATGCGTAAACTAATGCCCTAGCATGAAAACTGTCAAAGTTATTTGCAACCATATCGGAACCTCAAATTACCGCGTTTTTAAACATAGAACAATAATTCTACCGATCCATCAAATTGACCATTTTTTAGACGAACACATTATGCCACAAATGATATACCAAATTAAAGTGCAATCATAATGCTCTAAACTGATGCATAAATGACTGTCATAGCATGAAAACTGTCAAAGTAATTTACAACCATATCGGAACCTCAAATTACCGCCTTTTTAAACCTGGGAAAATAATTCTATCGATCTATCCAATTGGCCATCTTCTAAAAATACATTATGCAATAGATTGTATACCAAAACAAATGGCAACTAAAATGCAATAAAAAGATGTATAAACGACTGTTATAACATGAAAACTATAAAAGTTATTTGCAACCATATCGGGGCCTTAAATTACCGCATTTTTAAACCTGTACCAATAAATATACCGATCTATCCAATTTTTGTAAAAATTCATTATGCCACAAATTATACACAAAAACAAAGTGCAACTGTAATGCTTTAAAATGATGCATAAATGACTGTCATAGCATGAAAACTGTCAAAGTTATTCACAACCATATCGGAACCTCAAATTACCGCCTTTTTAAACCTGGGAAAATAATTCTACCGATCTATCCAATTGGCCATTTTCTAAAAATACATTATGCAATAAATTATATACCAAAACAAATGGCAAATTTAATGCTTTAAAATGGTGCATAAACGACTGTCCTAGCACGAAAACTGCCAAAGTTAATTGCAACCATATCGGAACCTCAGATTACTGCGTTTATTAAACATAGAACAATAATTCTACCGATCTATCAAATTGACCAATTTTTAAAAATACACATTATGCTACAAATGATATACGATATTAAAGTGCAATCATAATGCTTTAAAATGATGCATAAATGACTGTCATAGCGTGAAAACTGTCAATGTTATTTGCAGCCATATCGGAACCTCAAACTACCGCGTTTTTAAAGCTGTGAAAATAATTCTACCGATCTATCCTGTTAGGTCACCGTATAATAATTACTAACATTATTATTTTGTTTTGTTTAAATTTTCCATTTTTTATTGTATTTAAATTTATTCATATTTTTGGCTCACTGTTGCCACTGTAATTTGTCATTATTTTTTGTTCATACTAACCACTGTACATATTTTTGGTAATGACCCGTTAGTTTTTATTATTTGTTTCTCACTCCAATTCTTATTATAAGCATATTGTTGTTGCTCTTAAAAATGCAATTTCTTATTTTGGAGACTTATTGCATGTATTTTGTTTTTGCATATTTTGAATATAAATAAACAAGTTGAGTTGGTACATTGGAAGTGAGAAACAAATAATATTACAATAACAACAGTGTAGCCCTTATTTACATGATCAATTGTTAGGCTTAAGAAAAGAATTTTTAAATAAATAAATCATTGTCATAGTTGAATTCAATCGAACAACATCATCTTTTATTCTTGTCTCGGTACCACGGTAGTTCTTTTGTGTTTGTTAATTAATCACTGCCCATCGAACATTTCAGCAACCTATAGACAACAATTCAAAGTAGACCGAATTGCTCTATATCGTTGCCGGTGAAAAAAAAGCTCTTCATCGTACATTTTTGGCGCCCAACGTGGGGCAAGTGATTAATCTAAATCTTCCTAAATTTGTCGTTCTCGGTCCGTGGTATATTCTAAAAACTTTTCGTTGTAGTACAACTTAAAGAAAAAGTGTACGGTCATATTGTGAAGTGGAAACAGTGGTTCTATTACAAGGGCAATATCTAGTGCTACAAAAAAAAATTATAAATCATTTAAAAAAAAACTAGACAGTGCAACATATAACAAAAAAAAAACTGTTAAACAAATTTGTAGTGACGTACCTACTACAAATCTAGTTTTTTAAATACCTATTACAAACATTATACAAATTTTGTCGGCTCGCTAAATAGAATCAGTTTTTGTCGAAAAATAAAATAAATAAAAGTGACTCTAAAATTTTACCGCAAATTTTTATGTACAAAAATAAATAAACTTTGTTCGCTCGTAATTCGGGTTAAATAAATTTACCGCTAATCTTTATATACAAGAAAATACATAAATTTGTTCGCTTTTGGTTCCAGTACATAATATAGAATTTTGTGTATACTAAATTTGTCGCTCGGAATATTGCGGTACATATTTATATAGAAAGTGAATAAATACATAAAGTTTGTATATAAACATTTTTGGCGTAAAACTTTTGGCGTCGGTGCTCTACAATACATAGTATCATCCATTTTGAAATTTGTTTTTGGAAATTTTTGGCTCACTTAACCAAACTTTTGGAAATTTATGATGACTTTGGAAGAGGTTAAGCAGCAACGGGCTAATACGAAGAAGAGTATTACCCGCATCAAGAACCAAATCGAAGCCAATGGAAGGGGTGAAGGTAAGACACTTTCGTCTGCTGAGTTGAAGTGCCGTTTGGGGATACTGGAGTCATATTTTAAACAGATATTGACGTATCAAACACAAATTGAAAAATATGATCCCGAGGATAATGCTAGGCCCGAAATTGAAGATTTGTACATCTCAGCCAAAATGAATATCCAGTCGCAGCTTGGTGAAGATGTTCATAACACAACGTTGTCCGAGTCCACCATTTGTTTCCCAGCTCCCATCCATAAATTGCCCCAACTCAAATTGCCCACATTTAGTGGTAAGTACAGTGAATACAAGAATTTTATAACGTCGTTCAATCAAGTTATCGATCGTGAGTTTGGCCTATCAAATATTGAAAAGTTTAATCATTTGCTCAACTGCCTCCAAGGCCAAGCTCTAGAAACGGTCAAGGCTTTCCAGATTACGAACGAAAATTACCCGAAGGCTCTGGAAAGGCTCAAAACGCGTTATGATAATAGCTCGCTTATTTTTATGGAAAATATTACCGCCCTTTTTGAACTTCCTACCATGTCCAAATACAATTGTGCCCAATTACGAAGTCTCGTCGATAATGTTTCTGCCCTTTATAGTTCCTTACTGTCTCTTGGCTCACATAGTGATATTGCTAATTCCATGCTGATTTACATAGTGATGGAAAAAGTGGATGAAGATACCAGAAGAAAGTGGAAAGATTCCTTGGACTTTACCAGATTGCCAACATGGGATGATTGCTCCAAGGTCCTTGAAAGGCGTTGTCAATTTTTGGAATCGGTTGATACCAACCATACTTTTGTGGCCCCTCGTAAGCCTGATCATCAATCTGGTAAGTCCAAATCTAAAAATTCAAAACCTGGCTATACTTTTTCGGTATCAAAACGCTCTTGTGTGCTTTGCTCCAAATCTGACCACTCAATTAGTCGTTGTTCTCGGTTCAAAGATATGGATGTTAGTCAAAGGTATGAAAATGCAAAACGTCTAAGCCTTTGTCTAAATTGTTTGTCCAAAGGGCATCAAGTAAGTAGTTGTTCCTCCACATTCAAGTGCAAATTTTGTTCTCGCTCGCATCATAGTTTGCTTCATCGGTCTCAGCCAGCTTCTCGGCCCTCGTCCCCTGCTGCTGAACCTACTACTTCTCATGTTGCCTTGAATGAATCTTCTGCCTCGGTCCATACCCATATGGAAAAATCCTCGCCGGAACAGGTGCTGCTTGCTACTGCCATGGTTCTAGTTCGTGACTCCACTGGTCGCTATCAATTGGGACGCGCTTTGTTAGATTCTTGCTCTCAATTGAATTTCATAACCGATGAATTTTCCCAAAAATTACATTTGTCTCGTACAAAACAAACTACTGAAGTCTCTAGCATTGGTAACACTCTTAGCAAATCTAAATATAGGTCGTCCACAAATGTAAAATCTCGAGTCACAGATTTTGAAGTTTCGCTCTCATTTTGTGTCACACCTCATATTTCATATCAACCTGATAATGAATTAGATGTCTCATCCTGGAATTTGCCCCCAAATACTGAACTTGCGGATGAAAACTTCTTCAAATCAAAACGAATTGATTTACTTATTGGTACTGAAACGTTTTTCGACATTTTAGCAGTTGGTCAAATAAAACTTGGCCCTAATTTGCCTAAATTACACAAAACACTTTTCGGATGGATTGTAGCAGGTCGTTATGTATCAAAACAACCCAATATTTGTGGCTCTTCTTGTATGCTCTCGATAGAAGAAGATATTGATCTTAAATTACAGCGCTTGTGGGAAATCGATGAAGTTCAATCTGGCTCAAATGATTTGACACCAGAACAATCTGAATGTGAAACATTTTTCAATGATACTGTTCATCGTGAATCTTCTGGTAGGATTGTTGTTAAATTGCCCTTCAAGGAATCTCCTGACGCTTTAGGTCTTTCTCGAAATATGGCTCTTAAAAGATTTGTATCTCAAGAGAGACGATTTGCTCGTGACAGCAATCTTAAATCACAATATGTTGCTTTTATGAAGGAGTATGAAGATTTTGGACATATGAGTCTAGTTCGTAGCCCTCGTCTACACGAGCCTCATTATTTCATCCCTCACCATTGCGTTTTCAAACCAAGTAGCACTTCCACAAAGTTAAGAGTTGTTTTCGATGCCTCGTGTCCATCATCGTCCCAGAAGTCTCTCAATGATCTTCTTATGGTTGGCCCAACAATTCAAGATGAGCTGTATAAAATTTTACTTCGGTTCCGTCTTCATCGCTTCGCTCTTACTGCCGATATAGTAAAAATGTATCGACAAGTCCTTATTGACTCCCAAGATAGAAAATTCCAATATATTTTGTGGAGAAATTCAGAAGAGGAAGAAATTCGAACATATCACCTAAATACAGTCACCTATGGAATGTCAGCTGCGCCCTACCTTGCCATCAAAAGCCTTCACTATCTCGCAGACCAATACATGGACCAATTCGAACTTGGTGCAAAAACCATTAAGTCATCATTTTACGTTGATGATTTTCTTTGTGGCTCAGATACGCTTGAAGAATTGTCTCGTATGAAGCAGGAGGTTAATGAAATTCTAATTCGTGGTTCGTTTCAATTAGATAAGTGGCACTCTAATCATAGAGATTTCCAGGACGACAAAACTGTCAAAGACCTTAATATTGAAGATTCTGCAGTAACTAGCGCTCTTGGTATCTCTTGGGACCAACAAAAAGATGTTTTCTTATTTTTGTATTCGCCTAAAGTCCAAATTGATGAAAAAATAACCAAACGTACAATTTTGTCGCTCTCGTCAGCGCTTTTCGATCCCCTAGGACTTTTATCCCCTCTCATAATAAAAGCTAAAATCCTCATGCAAGAGTTGTGGATTCTAAAAATTGGCTGGGATGAGTCTGTACCTCAAGAAATACACTCGGCTTGGAAATCTTTCGTCTCTGATCTCAAACTATTACCTTCACTTAAAATTCCTCGTTTTTGTCTCGCTCCTGATTCTATATCAGTTCAACTTCATGGCTTTTGTGACTCATCAATTCGTGCTTATGGTTGTTGTTTTTACTTTCGTGTTAAAACTTCTTCAGGAAATGTTGTTGTTCGGCTCTTTACTGCCAAATCTAGAGTTGCTCCTTACAAAGCGAAAATCGTTACCCAAACTTGAGTTATGTGGCGCACAACTTCTAGCAAAATTGTATTCCAAAATCAAAAATCTTTTCGCAATACCAAATCTGGAAGTCGTTCTGTGGACAGATTCGCAACTAGTTCTTCACTGGCTAAAGCAACATTCATCTACTTTGTCAGTTTTTGTTGGCAATAGGGTATCAGAAATTCAAGATCTAACTAATGGCTGCGTTTGGCGACATGTCCCAACCCAGTTCAACCCTGCTGACATCGTTTCTCGTGGTTCAACTGTGCAGGAACTCGCCTCATCCATCTGGTTCAACGGACCAGCATTTCTCGCTCTCGATCCTGTTCAGTGGCCCCCTACGAAAACTGATAAACTCTCCGAAGAAAATCAGCAAGTATTCGACAAAGAAAAACGGAAAACCGTACTTCATCTTGAAACAAAATCTAACTACATCCTCGATTCTGTTGGAAAATATAGCTCGTACTTAAAAATCATTCGTATTATTGCCTGGATGTTTCGTTTTGCTCAAAAAACAAAAACTAATATTTCCAATTCTGACTCTTTGCAGCCCCAAGAATTAGAAAATGCTAAACTTTGTATCGTTTTCAACATCCAGAAACTACATTTTCAAGATGACATAACTCGAGCTCTAAAGAAGAAAGATCCCCAAGGTGCTCTAAAGTGTCTGAACCCCTTCCTAGATTCGTCAAATGGTTTCAACTTGCTCAAGGTCGGCGGACGCTTGGAGTACGCGGCAATTTCTGAAGGCCAAAAACACCCCATAATCTTGCCCAGCAAATGCCATTTCGTCTACTGTTACGTACGTCATCTGCACATCAGTAACTACCACGCTGGACCCAAGGCTCTAATGTCATTGATTCGCCAACAATTTTGGATCATCAACTCCAGGAATTTGTGTCGCAGCATTGTAAATTCGTGCCCTCAATGCATTCGCTATCGCCCAAAGTTGTTGCAACAAATGATGGGAAATTTGCCTGTGGAACGACTCAACCCGTCAAGGCCCTTCGCAAGGTGTGCTGTCGATTTTTGTGGTCCAGTCAACACCTACCTAAGAATTAGAGGAAAGGTCCCCTACAAGACATACATCGCTATATTTGTTTGTCTCGCTACCAAAGCTGTCCATATTGAAGTGGTATCCGACCTGTCAACAGATGCCTTCATTGCTGCCCTAAAACGGATGATTGGTCGTAGAGGTCTGCCCACAGAATATTCTGTGATAATGCAACAAATTTCGTTGGTGCAAACTCTAAGTTGGCTCAATTAAAGTCGTTCCTTTTTGAGCCAAAAAATTCAAATTTTATTACAAATTATTGCTCGAATCAATTTATTAATTTTCGATTTATTCCCCCTAGGGCACCACATTTTGGCGGATTGTGGGAGGCGGCCGTCAAATCGGCCAAAGGTCACTTAACCAGAACCCTGGACAACACAAGGCTCACCTACGAAGAACTCGCAACGGCTATGATTGAGATAGAGGCAGTTTTAAACTCGAGGCCCATTTCGCCTCTATCCTCAGATCCCAGTGATTTTGAAGCTCTTACACCAGGACACTTCTTGATAGGCGCTCCCCTCCGTAGTTTGCCAGAACGTGATGTCCCTACAAATGAGATTAACAAACTTGAATATTGGGCCCGAATAAGCGCCATCAAGCAACAATTCTGGAAAAAGTGGTCCCATGATTATATAAATGAGCTCCAGACTCGCAACAAATGGACTAGCACCAACTCTAATATTACCCCTGGTTCCCTAGTCATCATCAAAGAAGATAATTTACCCCCGCAGCGTTGGCTCATGGGTAAAATCATCAACATTGTTCGTGGAAGAGATGATCGTGTTCGAGTTGTCGACATCAAAACTACAAAAGGAGTTATACGTCGCCCTATCCACAGACTGGCTCTTCTATCTTCTTGAAAGTGTCCTTTCAATGGGGCCGGAATGTTAGGTCACCGTATAATAATTACTAACATTATTATTTTGTTTTGTTTAAATTTTCCATTTTTTATTGTATTTAAATTTATTCATATTTTTGGCTCACTGTTGCCACTGTAATTTGTCATTATTTTTTGTTCATACTAACCACTGTACATATTTTTGGTAATGACCCGTTAGTTTTTATTATTTGTTTCTCACTCCAATTCTTATTATAAGCATATTGTTGTTGCTCTTAAAAATGCAATTTCTTATTTTGGAGACTTATTGCATGTATTTTGTTTTTGCATATTTTGAATATAAATAAACAAGTTGAGTTGGTACATTGGAAGTGAGAAACAAATAATATTACAATAACAACAGTGTAGCCCTTATTTACATGATCAATTGTTAGGCTTAAGAAAAGAATTTTTAAATAAATAAATCATTGTCATAGTTGAATTCAATCGAACAACATCATCTTTTATTCTTGTCTCGGTACCACGGTAGTTCTTTTGTGTTTGTTAATTAATCACTGCCCATCGAACATTTCAGCAACCTATAGACAACAATTCAAAGTAGACCGAATTGCTCTATATCGTTGCCGGTGAAGAAAAAGCTCTTCATCGTACATATCCAATTGGCCATTTTCCAAAAATACATTATGGAATAAGTTATATGCCAAAGCAAATGGCAACTATAATGCAATAAAAAGATATATAAACGACTGTTATAACATGAAAACTATAAAAGGTATTTGCAACCATATCGGAGCCTTAAATTACCGCATTTTTGAACCTGTACCAATAAATATACCGATCTATCCAATTTTTGTAAAAATTCATTATGCCACAAATTATACACCAAAATAAAGTGCAACTGTAATGCTTTAAAATGATGCGTAAACTAATGCCCTAGCATGAAAACTGTCAAAGTTATTTGCAACCATATCGGAACCTCAAATTACCGCGTTTTTAAACATAGAACAATAATTCTACCGATCCATCAAATTGACCATTTTTTAGACGAACACAAATGATATACCAAATTAAAGTGCAATCATAATGCTCTAAACTGATGCATAAATGACTGTCATAGCATGAAAACTGTCAAAGTAATTCACAACCATATCGGAACCTCAAATTACCGCCTTTTTAAACCTGGGAAAATAATTCTATCGATCTATCCAATTGGCCATCTTCTAAAAATAAATTATGCAATAGATTGTATACCAAAACAAATGGCAACTAAAATGCAATAAAAAGATATATAAACGACTGTTATAACATGAAAACTATAAAAGTTATTTTGCAACCATATCGGGGCCTTAAATTACCGCATTTTTAAACCTGTACCAATAAATATACCGATCTATCCAATTTTTGTAAAAATTCATTATGCCACAAATTATACACAAAAACAAGTGCAACTGTAATGCTTTAAAATGATGCATAAATGACTGTCATAAGCATGACAAGCTGTCAAAGTTATTCACAACCATATCGGAACTCAACTGTCAATGTTATTTGCAGCCATATCGGAAACTGCTCAAATCTACCGCGTTTTTTTAAAGCCTGTGAAATAATTCTACCGATCTATCCAATTGGCCATTTCCAAAAAGACATTATGGAATAAGTTATATACCAAAGCAATGGCACTATAATGCAATAAAAAGATATATAGAAACGACTGTTATAACATGAAAACTATAAAAGGTATTTGCAACCATATCGGAGCCTTAAATTACCGGCATTTTTTGAACCTGTACCAATAAATATACCGATCTATCCAACTTTTGTAAAAATTCATTATGCCACAAATTATACACCAAAATAAAGTGCAACTGTAATGCTTTAAAATGATGCATAAACTATTGCCCTAGCATGAAAACTGTCAAAGTTATTTGCAACCATATCGGAACCTCAAATTACCGCGTTTTTAAACATAGAACAATAATTCTACCGATCCTTCAAATTGACCATTTTTTAGACGAACACATTGTGCCACAAATGATATACCAAATTAAAGTGCAATCATAATGCTTTAAAATGATGCATAAATGACTGTCATAGCATGAAAACTGTCAAAGTTATTCACAACCATATCCGAACCTCAAATTACCGCCTTTTAAACCTGGGAAAATAATTCTACCGATCTATCCAATTGGCCATTTTCTAAAAATACATTATGCAATAAATTATATACCAAAACAAATGGCAATTTTAATGCTTTAAAATGGTGCATAAACGACTGTCCTAGCACGAAAACTGCCAAAGTTAATTGCAACCATATCGGAACCTCAGATTACTGCTTTTATTAAACATAGAACAATAATTCTACCGATCTATCAAATTGACCAATTTGTAAAAATACACATTATGCTACAAATGATATACCATATTAAAGTGCAATCATAATGCTTTAAAATGATTGCATAAATGACTGTCATAGCGTGAAAACTGTCAATGTTATTTGCAACCATATCGGAACCTCAAATTACCGCCTTTTTAAAGCTGTGAAAATAATTCTACCGATCTATCCAATTGGCAATTTTCTAAAAATATATTATGCAATAAATTATATACCAAAACAAATGGTAAGCTATAATGCAATAAAAAGATATATAAACGACTGTTATAACATGAAAACTATAAAAGTTATTTGCAACCATATCGGAGCCTTGAATTACCGCATTTTTAAACCTGTACCAATAAATATACCGATCTATCCAACTTTTGTAAAAATTCATTATGCCACAAATTATACACCAAAATAAAGTGCAACTGTAATGCTTTAAAATGATGCAGTAAACTAATTGCCCTAGCATGAAAACTGTCAAAGTTATTTGCAACCATATCGGAACCTCAAATTACCGCGTTTTTAAACATAGAACAATAATTCTACCGATCCTTCAAATTGACCATTTTTTAGACGAACACATTGTGCCACAAATGATATACCAAATTAAAGTGCAATCATAATGCTTTAAAATGATGCATAAATGACTGTCATAGCATGAAAACTGTCAAAGTTATTCACAACCATATCGGAACCTCAAATTACCGCCTTTTTAAACCTGGGAAAATAATTCTACCGATCTATCC